AACACAGAGACCCACAACTGGTCCACATGCAGAGGGTTAGAGACTATGGAATTCTTACCACTAAAAGGGACACCTATATTGTTCCATCTCCTCCCAAGATTCAGTGATCATTGTGGAAAAGGAGGCAGAAATCCCGTAAGAGCCAGAGGCAGTAGATGAATACAAGGAAACTCTGTTGTATGAACACCAGAGTAATTGCACATTTGAACCCACCGTGCCTGTGACAGCATGCACAAGACCTGTATATCTCCAAGCCAGAAAGGGGCTATAGATGGTTGGGGGAGGTAGGCAAGCAATCCCAGTCCTAACTGAGAATCTCTTGGCAATTGACAGATGTTGAGAGAGTGAGAGTCAGTTTTACTTACTGGTATGTTGCTTAGTAGGTTGACCAGACTCCAGTGATAGAACCACACACAGATTATACTTCATAGGCCCTAAAACAAAAGACAAACAATAACAGAGGACATGGAGTTGGGGAGGTAGAAAGGTGAGGGTGGAGGGGTAAGAATTTGAATATGATCAAAATACATTGTAAGAAAATGTCAAAAATACATATATTTTAAAAATGAACCTAGATTGAAAGGATATATTTTTTAAAGAGAATTGCCTGCAGTGAGATATCTGCATTTGGGTTATATACTATAAGCAGTGTGTGATATTAAGCAGCATTCTTAGGTCCTGAAGATGTGTATGAAAGCTAGGTTACCCCAAACTGGCAAGTTTATTTATCTCTAAGCCACTCAACATCTGGCTAACAGCTCCCATGTGAGAGACAACAGCTATGCAGGCAGTTTTCCAGGGTGGATCCTGCATGTCAGAGCCATGCAGTGCAGCTGCTTCAGCCTGGCAGCCAAGCAAGAACACTTCGTGGCTTATATGGGGATTCAGACCGAGGTTCCAGCCTTTCAAGATTCCTGCATTCTTTGATTTAACTGACATTCCCAAGGCTCTGTCTTGTGCAGTATATAAGGACACTCCCTGGTATATAAACATACAAGAATCAAAGTTTTTGGACTTAGAACAAATGCCAGGACACTGAACACAGAAGAACTATCAAATGCACACATTCCTTGCCACTAAATTAAAATTTACAAACATTGAAAAATACTTTTATAAATCAGATGACTTCCATGAGTCATAAGATATTGCAGAAATAAGCTCTTTCATCCTAATTATATTTGTGCTGTGTCCTCCTTTACAGTCCCAAGAATCATCAGGGAAACAAAGATTATAGAACCCTTGTCTTGTAAGTCTGTATGTAGGATACTCAGCTAATGTCAGCTGAAGACCCAGAGCCAGCATGCCACTCATGGGGACGGATCTCCAAGTTCATTGTTAGCAAAGGCATTGTCTTCACTAGCAAGCATCCATTTTTCCATCCATTCATAAATGGCATTTATTCATATGCATTGAAAACACATACCAGGAGGATATTTCTGGCACTAGAAACAATAAAGTGTCAGGAATAGATTCAGCTTTCAGTTTAAAGGAAAATGACAGCACTGAATATAAATGACAGTAAGAAACCAAAGCACATTAAAACCAACAGTACACAGTGTGATGCTAGCACTTGTTGGAGCATTTGTGGCCCCACTTTTACATATGACATATGGAATATTCATAGCCCAACTTATGTTGCTTTACATATTGATGTTTATTTTTACTTGAATGGTATTTGGTTGTGAAAAAGTCCCAGGGAAATGATAAATTTAAAATAACAGTATGGATTCTGAAACAATCATATCACATGATCATGTGGAAGTTTTAACTGTTCATCTTGCCTTTCAAATTTAAATGCACAGATATAAGTTTTATGCTTTTCAATGAAAATTATGGACAACAGTTTTTCTTCCTTTTTGTTAATATTACATTAAATACTTAATTGTCTCACTGTGTTTCATTCCCATGCAATTTTATGAAAGTATACAAGCTTACACATAAGTATACATACATATGTGTATATACACATATATGGATGGATTATTGTCATTTATATCTAAAATTCAGGTAAGAATTGTGTGTATTAACCTTCAAATATTTTTTTCACAATAAAAATATGAGTATCCATCCAGGAGATAAGTTATGAGTCTAGCTGATTCTTTGTTGATGTATATTGTGTCTCATTTATTCAGTTAATTTGTTTTTGTTTCCATTATCCACTCTAATTGAGTAAGTGGTTCCTTTGAAAGCATCTAATACATAATTCATATTTGTATTCCCAAGATTAAACACAGAGTATGAAAGACAGAGGTCAATGAATACTAAATGAACTGAATATGCCATGTTTTATGTTTTATATTTATATATATATATGTATATTAAATTGTATCGGGGCAATTGGGGGGAGTGGGGGATAGCTAAATATCAAATCATACTGAATGAAAATTGTAAAAATTCAATAAAAATAAAAAACTTAAAATTATACTGTTTGATCAATTAAAATGGTATTGGTCATTTAAATGTCAGTCAAAAATCATCGAACCTTTCAAATATTTTCTCACAGAGAAGTTTGGTGTTTTTTGCCAAACTTCATCTAAACCTTTCTACCATACCACATGTATGGATTAAATATTTTTGTTTTATATAGAATAGTAAATACATTAATGCAATCAACCCTCATCAGCTTTATATTCAGAAATAGTCCATAATCTTAATATTAGCAGTTTGTTGGTTTCAGCCTATAAGGACAATGATCAGTTCTGAAATAAACCAGATGAACTATAAGACACACTGAATTTTTACTGAATACAATGGATTCTTGACAAGAATCATAGAACTATCTAGTTTCTAAGGTTTTCAAACCTTTTTTGTAATGTTCTGAATTTCATCTCAAGTGCTCTATATTAAATTGGCTTTCATGGCTGTGCCCACAGTTTTAAGTGGCCCATCACGTGTCCATACCCTGCAGGATGCTGCAGTTCGCCCCTGCAGCCCCATATACCCTTTCTCTGTTCCAATCTCGCCTCAGCGCTAACACCACCACCCCTAACTCTCCGTCTTCTGGGCAGCTTCACCCCTCTTCCCAGCCTGGATGCTCCTCATCTCGCCCCCTGGCTGGCTTACACTTTTTGGAGGAATAAGTAATTTTCAGGCTACGGGCTTCATGCTTTCTAAGCTCTAATTATAAAACAGGAAGATACGATCTAGTGAAAAACATAAGGATCATTCACAAAGACGTCAAACATTTAGCCATTGCTAATGAAGGCATTCAGGCTATAAAAACCTTTTTCATGTTACAAAACTATACCTCTCTGAACCTCATTGTGCTGTGATACCGAGTTCAGCAATTTTTAATATTCAAATTATTAAATTAAAAAGTACCTGGTAGACATTTGCTTTCCCAAAGGGAGTTGGAACAAGGTCTTTCAGAGTCCATGGACAGACTATTGGAAAAGGTCATGAACAATAAGTCTTGGTTCTCTGTGCATTAAAGGCTGGTATGGTCATAGGTTCAGATCTCTATGAGATTTCAGTGGAACAAGACAGGATTCTTGTCATGTGTTTGGGTGTTTCTGAGGATGTTATGGATACAGCAAATTGGTAAGAACATGAGAGAAGTACTGAAATTGACTCTTGATGAACCTCCAGTTGGAACCTGGGTGGGCGAGGGAAAAAAGGATAGTTTCAGGGTAGAGACGAACAAAGCAGGCAAGGTGCTTGGATTTCCAATCCGATGTTCCCCTTCTCTTCACTCATTTTCACATAGCTTTAGCCATTCTTCCTGAATAGTAGGGAATGCTTGTGAGAAGCCTATAGCTCACTGATAGAACCAGTACCTAGCAAGCTTTAGGCCCTGGGCTCAGCCTCCATCACAACCTATAGCAAACATCTAATTAGGTCCAGAAGTGATAGAACACATGCTACCTTCCAGAGTCTGCCAGTTGGGGAAGGTTTATGTCAATAGTTTTCTCCTTCTGAGGCCTGGCAGCAAAACTGGCTTCTGAGTATGAAGGAGCCTTTGAATATGATGTTCATATTCAGGAGAAACTCCGTATGTCAGGAGTTTCTAGACTGCAACTTTAAGGGAATGCAGAGAATCTGCTGGTGTGTGACTCTACTGTGATAGGCGATAAGGAGCCTGGTACCCAGATGCCATTTTGCACTCTGCAGAAGTGCTTTCAGAAACAGCATTTGGTGTTGGTTTGAACTAGGATTAGTTTATAAAATGCATGTATGCAAATATAACACACATACGTGGAGAAAAGTTTAGGTTTTATGTTTAATCCTTTACATTTATTTATTGGATGTGGGTGTTTATGTGTACACTCATTCCCTGTGGGGTTCTGAGGACAACTTAGAAGATTCAGCTCTATCCTTCCACCATGTGACTTCCTGTTGACATAGCTTTCTATTACTGTGATAAAGCTCTCTGACCAAAATCAACTTGGGGAGAAAAGGATTTGTTACAACTTACAACTTGTGGGTCACAATCCAATACTGAGGGAGGTCAGGTCAGGAGCTCAATCACGGCAACAACCTGGAGGCTAAAGCTGAAGCAGAGGCCACGGAGAAGCACAGCTTGGTGGCTACCACCTGCTCGGGGTGGCATCACAGTGGCCTGGACCCTCCCACATGACTCAGCAATCAAGAAAATGCCTCACAGTTGTATCCACGTATCCACGGGCCAGTCCCAGAGAGGAAGTTCCCCAGTTGAGGGTCCCCTTCCCCAGGTGTGTCATGTCAGGTTGACAACTGAAGCTTTCCAGTGCTGTTCCGGGTTCAAACTCAAGCCATCACACTTCATGGCACGAGCCTTTATCTGCTGAGCCATGTCACTGACCCCAGTTTCATCTTTTAAAATGAATATGCTAATGATAATTCATGCAATGTTAATTGAAAAAGGAACAGGTTTGGATTACCTAATTAACTCAGCCTCTTACAATCTCTTTAGATACCGTGTAAGCATAATCTTTGAGCCAAACACAGAGTTTGCCGATGTAGTTAAGTGAATTCTTAATTGTTTACCACTTCCTGATGTATAATTTTCTTTCTTTCCCCAGAATAAAAGCTTGAAAAACAAACTATTGTCTGGAAGCAAGCTGTGTGGGATTCATGCAGAAGAGGTGAGTAGCATATCTTTCCATAAGATCACATGGTTTAAAACAGTATTATATTAAATCTTGTCTAACTCAAACATCTAATAGCCTTGTTCCCCCTAAAATAACTTCAACCATTTCAAATACGAAATTAAAACACATTTTTAAGTGTGCTTGATTGTTCTAAAATTGTTCTGATGAAAAGGAAGACAAGACAAAATAAGCAAACAAAACAATACAAATGACATACATTCAATGCCATGTTCACAAGATACTGTTCTGACTCCTGCCTCAGCTATACAATCAGAATCTCCCCGTTGTAAAATTTCTGGGTGCCCATATGTTTGCCTTTTGTTTTTACTATGGAAGTTACATCAAGAAAGCTGCTGCAATTCATTACAAACTTCCCAAACAGATACATTCATATGTTCTATTCACTGTGCAGCAACATGTCTTAGACGTATTTATCAAGGAGGAACCAACAGTATTTTGGATAATCTAGATTTAACCAAAATAATCAAGAGATGTATTTCTGATCTTTGGATCACTCTATGATCCTGAATTTACTATAGAAATCTAGTTTATGGGAATTGTTACAGACAACATAGTAACAGTTTATATATTCGTATGACTCAACCAGAGAGGAGAGTTGAGTTCAAGGTACTCCAAGAGGCTTGCATAAAGACAGATTAGACATTGAAACCTCATTCTAGGTAACTCCTGTGAATGGTGAGGAACAGGCATGTACTTTTCCAGTCCAGGAAGACCTAATGCCTGAGTAGGAAGTAGGAAGGAATGAGGCTGACATACAGAAACAGTGGCTTTACAGCTTGAAAGCTGATCCCCTCCCCTTGGATATCTAAAGAGAAAGTAAGAGTTGCTCAAACTGGTCAATCATCTATCTATCTGAGGGACTGTCTTACCTCTTCTTGGCCCCAAATCCCTTTTCCCGTTACTTTTCTGCAGAAGTAAGTGGGAAGATTTTCTCGTGGACAACAATTTTATATTCCATGAAGAGAGCTTTCTCACTCTTTGGTGTCTCAGAATGAGGTCACATGATTACCAATATAAAGAACTTTCAAAAATGTTATATAAATGATGAAAAAGCTATTATCACAGAGCTAACATGTGCTTCCATCATTTGTGGTATGATTCTCCAGTAAAATATATATACAAATTGAATGGATATTTTTAAGACATAGAAAAATGTCAATTCTCCTTGAGAAGAAAAATAAAAGTGGGTATTTTCTACATCTGATCCAGCACAGCTTTTCCTGTCATTGCATTTTCTCTATTTGGGTAAAAATAAACTTGATTTTGTTCATATTTACTAGGATTTTGGAAACAGGACATATGTGGTCTGTGACAACTCTGAATAGTACATTAGAATAAGAAAGTGAGATGGCCTTTGAATAGGGACTACCTAAGGCAGATGTGCTGGCGCACACCTCTACTACCAACACGTGGAAGGCGACATAGGAAGTTCAGAAAGTAAAGTTCATCCACAGCCACAAAATGATTCTGAGGCTGTGCTGTGCTGCAGAAAACCTCATCTCAAGACAAACAAGAAATAAGGAATATCTGGACAAACACTACAACATAGTGAACATTATGTCAGGGTCCCCCAAAAGCTCAAGTATATGAAAGGGAAGTGGGCGGGTAACTGACTATGTCTCTGGTACCTAGGAAAATTTAATAGGGGATCTCTTGACATTTGAATCTGTTCATTCAAGCATGGTCCAGTTTTCCCTCATCTCCATGACTTGTAGGCACGTACCACTTCCTTCATTTTAGTCTGTGCTAATGGTTGAAATGCAGAAAGCTGAAACAATTTAGTCATTTTCTATATCCTGTTAACTGTTTATGAAGCAAAGTTAGAGCTTAGTATTCTGGGTAATAATAATTCTAGCAATAGAATATTATTAAAATAATTTTAAAATAATATGTGCAAATTTTAATTATTTGAGTCAGTATTACCAAACAAAATAATAATAGTCTCTGCGGTTAAGAGTTAAAAAGGAGGTTGTTTCTTGATCATCCCCCTGAAGCTCCTTATATTCTTGCAGGAAGGAAATATGCTGTGGTTTTTCATGGAAGAACCCTGTGTGACTTTTCCTGGGCAGTTGTAATCAAGTGTGTGCTCACTGCCACAGAGCACTAACAGCAGCACAAATAAATGGTTCTACCCAGGGTAGCTAAGTGAAACAGTGAGTTTACTCAGGAACTCATGGGAGCACAAGTGGCTGGAAGGGAGTTGCATCTCTGAACTCCCCACCCAGTGTTGACAAGAACTCAGGAAACAGCTCCCTGAATCTTCCTTGCATAGGTTGCAGCCTGCTGAATGGTTGGAGGGTCTACTCTCTGTAGCCGCAACTGGCCTAGAACTCCCAATGCAGACCAGGCTGTTCTCGATCTCACAGAGATCCACCTGCCTCAGCCTCCTGAGTACTGGGATCAAACTCATGCAACACTTCACCCAGCTATTACGTCCAACATTAATTAATCCATGCACATGGGAAATCTTCATGATCTTCATCACCACTATTTGTAATTTCATTTAAAATGATCTATGTAGTATAAACAAAATTAGAGAGGTTCAAAATATATCATTTGTTTGAGGCTTTTCCTTTTTGATAAACGGACTTATCAAAATGTTGCTAACAAGCTATCACAGTTAGCATACTATATAATTTCAAATTACTGTCCATGTCACAGAAGATGTCTTCCTTCTGAATTTATTTGTTCTTGGTATAACTTGTGTAAGATCCTCAGGAAGAATTTTTCTTTTATTTCACTGACAATTAGAAAGTGCTTGGTTGTGCAAAACAGGAAACATGAGACATAGCAAGAATAACTTCTAAGTTTTCTTTACGATAATAAAGATCAAGGGATCTACCATGATGAGGCCACTAAATGCAAGAAAAAAAAAAAGAAAAAGAAAGAGAGGAAAAAAAGAAAAGGAAAAACATGGGAAAAATTTTTAAATCTTAGTTTTATTCTAGTTCTTGAATCACTGCATATTGTAATTACTTTTTATTGTTTGAGAAAGTCATACATGCCTATAACATTTTAAATGATGATTATGACATAGCAGAATGCTTAAATCGTAATCCATATATTCACTATTAAATACATTATAAACAGATTTCACAAATGATTAAAACAAGTCCTTTGTAGTTCCAGAGGGCACTGTTTATGCAGAAGTCTGATAATTGCATTGCACAGTTCATCCATACCACATATAACAGTGATCTGCCAATTCCCACCCACACTGTCAACACTACTTGAGAAAAATAACTTTTTTCTGGAAGACTGTTTGGTTGTGCTATGAATGAGTCTTGAATTCCATACTGGAATGGGGTAGGGTGATGATCAAAATTGCCTTCGAAAATTTGAAAGATAATCAGACTTCACCTTTACTACAATGAGTTAGCATATAAGCAATTGCAGCTATGTAATTCAGAATCATCACTGTGAAAACCTAAATGTGAGACAGCAATGCTATGTCTCAATTTTCATTATTTGGTGTCACTTAGGGAAATTTGAATGGGGCACAGTTTTAGGGATGTGAACTCCAATGTCTAAGTAAAAATTCCACAGACTGATGGCTAGTCATAAATGTTAATTTTTAAGACCTATTAACAATCATGTGGCTTATTAATAGCTTGTGGTCTTTTTTTTTTATCTGGCATTTCACACTTGCTGTTCCTATCAGGAAAAGGGGATTTTTTTTATAGACAGGTTAGTTTTCATTTGTAGAAAACAATTTATGTAAAAATGATTATACAGTCATAAAAGTAACAGGTGACTAACATATTGTAGTAAGCTGTCTTAATAAGGAACTCCTCTTCAACAAAAAAGGCAAATGCAGATTTTGAAATATTATTTTTCAAGCATGAATACATTTATATGAATCTTCCATGAACTCTCTACATAGTCCACATTTCTTTTTTTAAACTTTTACAAAGACTTTATTGAAAATTTCATACATGCATATAAGGTGTTTTGATCAAATCCATGCCCACTCCCTCTCCTCCAACATTCCCCCTTCGAAGAGGTAACCCTAAAATCTTTTAAGTGTTAGATACAAGCTCCCAAATACTTTTGACATTTTGGCCTTTGGAACAGAGTATATTGTTAACAGGACCAAGGACAGAAACCAGGGAACTAGAAAAATGTCAGAACAGGGCAAGTTTCAAATGTTCATATGAGAGTCCATTGGAATTTCTTGACAAGGGCTTCCAAAAGCATCCCTCTATTGGGTTCCTCTTCATTTTTCTTTTCTTTTTTTAAAAAAAAATTTTACAAAAACTTTATTGAGAATTTCATACATGCATATAAGGTGTAATTCAGAATATTCTAGGCAGGTAGAGTCATTGAGTTGGCAAAGTGGGAATCCTTGTGATGGCATGGAAATCCCTGACTCCTCAGTCAGTGCTGCTCATGGGGAATCTAGTCTTCACATTATTCCAACTTCAGCATTTGAGATGAAGATGTGAGAACTCACTATTCTTTATCAATTTTTGTCCATGTGACCATGATTATGTGCATGTGTGAGTATGTATGTGCCCCCTTAGTAAATATGAGGATGTATTAATTGTAAGTGTAGAAGCAAGCTGAGCTACTGTGTTTAACTACTGGGAATTGTACTTCCCCTGAAAAGCTGAGGATGTAAGATCCTTCTCTCTTGCTTACAGAACTTATCTTAGCGTGTACAGAAAACATTTCTGCTGGGAACAATGTACCTTTTAAATGTTCTTATATTTGCAAAGCCCCTGATCGATCAAAAGTGTGTTCCTCTAAACTGCAAAAGAATTCACCTTACTATAAAGCACATGCCTTCATGTCTTCTTTTACAGCTGCTAATTGGAAACATAGCGCTTTCAAAGCTGGTCAGCCATTGAAAGTTATCAATACATTATCTTTAAAAAGTTATTAGGAAAAAAATTCTTCAAAGCATAAAAATTTGCTCCTCAATAACTAGTAGATGTGAAAAATATTACCATTGAAATCTACCTGATGACTTTATATTCATGCTCAGATGCTAAGGAGCTCAGAAAGTAACTGACTGTGACTAGTTATAAACAGATATATAGAGATTAGAAACACATATGCATCTTAGTGTTAGTTGTATTAAAAATGAATTTTCTGTATGAAACTGTATTTTAATAATGAAATGGAGATCTTTTTTTAAAGTTTCAAA